ATCCTGACAACTACGTTCTGGTTTGCATTGGCTTATTGGAGGCAGCCGGACGTGGAAGCTGGGACAGGGTGTGGACAGAAGGGAACACAGCTGGAACTAGGGTGGAGGTTTTAAATTTCTCCATTCATCATTATCATGCTCTGGTCTACAGCAATGAAGGCTATATCTGGTGCCAGTCATGAATTATTTGCTACCATTCCATGATATTATATGTGTAGAAATTGGAAGTCAGCTCTTAAAACTTGTGATAATTTTGGAATACAGATGGTAGCTGGTTTTAGGCAAAGAGAAGACTGTCAAAGAGTCATCAAAGGGAGCCATCCCACAAGGGAAGGGCATGGCAGCCCACTCCAGTGTTCTTGCCTGGAGAATCCCATGGACAGAGGAGCCTGGAGAGCTACAGTCCATGGAGTCACAAAGAGTCAGACATGACTGAGCTTCTGTGCACACATACTATATTATATACAGCACAATAATATCAGCACTTCTTAACACGTAAAATCAACACCTCTTTTATACAGAGGCCCTTGTCCATCTTGGCAGGAGGTTTTTTGTAAAGAGAATGCTTTGTTCTTTTGTTTAGTACATCTGAGTCTTTATAACTTGAAGTCCACAACACCTTTTTACATTCTGTACTTGTGCTGGAGAATCTCAGAGAGAAAAAGATGTTTATTCGTCACCAGATATTGTAGCTCTGAGGCACAAGAATCCTGGGAGAACAGGACGAAACTGCAGATGAAGGGAGGGTTTTCATGTAGACAGAGAGGTCCCTGAAGCTCTGATTTATTTGACGTTTGTGAAGTGAAACTCAACAGGTTGTTTATGGCTGATTTGAAGCCCTTGTCATACCACATTTTATGGTTCCAAAGGAACAAAGCAGAGAAAAGTTTCCTAAAGAAAACTGAACAGGTGGTTTGGAGCTACAGGGCATTTTAGTTACAGGGTGAAGAATCTCCATTTGATGGTAAATCATTAAGTTGCCTTGGGTCATGGGTTGGAGTGTGCCTTAGTGGTTGCTAAAAGAAATCTAGAATGCTTTTCTTTTCCCCGAATATCCTTCTTGTAAAAACGTCCTGACATCGAGGGCTGTGGCCAAGCCAGGCACCACCAGGAGCCGCGGCTCAGGTGGGCAGAGGCCTGGAGAGGTCTTCAAACCCAGCCAGAGAGACAGGGGACTGGCTTTCTGATGGTAAGAATGATGGCATGCAAATCTGTACCTTGAACACTGTTCTCACTTCTTAAGAAGCCCACGGCTTCCCTGGAGGTCCAGTGGTTAAGACTCTGAGCTCCCAATGCAGGGGGCCCAGGTGCAATCCCCGGTTGGGGAACAAGATCTCACATGCCACAGGTAAGAGTTCGTTTGCCTCAGAAAACAAAACAAAACAAAACAAAACCACCAAGAGTTTGTATGCCACGACTAAGACCTGGTAAGGCCAAATAAATAATTTTTTTTTTTTTTAAAAGAAGAAGCTCATGGTCCTGGAGACACAGAGTAACTTGGAAACTTTTGATAAGAAAATCTCTCTATACCCTTTAGTAACCTACTGAGCTTGGTCTTGCCAAGGGGAACCACCAAGTTTGCCCCAGTGCTCTAATTTCTGAACTGCCCTAGTGAAAAGTGAAAGTGCAAGTCACTCAGTCCTGTCCAACTCTTTGCAACCCCATGGATTGTAGCCCTCCAGGCTCGTCTGTCCATGGCACTCTCCAGACCAGGATACTTAAGTGGGTAGCTGTTCCCTTCTCCAGGGGATCGATCTTCCCGACCCAGGGATCGAACCCGGGTCTCCAGCATTGCAGGTGGATCCTTTACCGTCTGAACCACCAGGGAACTGCCCTAGAGACAAGTCTAACTGTACACTGGTCTGAAGCAAGATCAACAAAAGCAGGATGTGAACAATGTGCCCATTCAAGGGCTTGTAACACATTCTCTCAATTAATTTTTTAAAAAATAGGTGCACATCAGTCATCTGGATTTAAAACTCTGAACCACTCTGACTTCAGGCAGGTAGTAAGCTCCCTACACATGGCATGAACTCAAGAAATATTCATGGAGTAGATGCTACTGAATGATTTATCATTTGGTCCTACTGAAATTCTGAAATAAAAGTTTCTAGCTAACTTTTGTTTTAGGTTAACATGAATTAGTTGTGTTCTCTGGACATCCAGCATACCCGCCACTGAGACCCTGTTGAAAACATCTATGGTAACATCTACTATTCATTAATTCGTTCTGAAATATTTAACATGTATCTATAACATTCTGGGCACAATGAATCACCATTTAATTCAACCATTACAAAACTCTAGAGAGAAGTGTGTAATGAATAGGGTTCCATGCTTTATTTGTATTTTATTCAAATACATCTTATGTTTTTAAGTGGTGCTAAGGAGTTGAAGTTGGATATGCTAAGACATTGTTAGCCATGTCTAATTTAAAAACTCTAAATTCTCATTTAAAGTAAATTAGCACTAAAGACTTAGCAATACTACACATGGGTTGTTAATTAGTTTTTAGAGTGTGTGATTCCTGCAGGATTTTAATCCTAGGTCCCTTTCAGTTCTCACTATCTTTTGAAGATACTCTGAAGCAGTCTGGATTTAGGTAGGGTGACCACATAGTTTATTATTCCAACTGGGGCAGGTTTGAGTGTGAATGGGGTGCTGTTGATGATTGCATCAGTGCAATAGGTGTAAAGAGGATTCTCTGGGACAAACAGGGTCTTAGTTTTACCTTAGGAAAGAACACTGGTGGAAGGATCAGGACTTGATACACACAGGCTGCCTTATCAGTGCCTGTCACGTCCCCTTTTTGGGTTCAGTTTATTGGAATGAAAAGGAAAAGCGTTGTACTAAAGCCGACTGGCAGAAGATGAGATGGTTAGACAGCGTCACTGAATCACTGGACGTGAGTCTGAGCAAACTCGGGGAGAGAGTGAACGACAGGGGGACCTGGAGTGCTGCAGTCCATGGGGTCGCCAAGAGTTGGACACAACTTAGCAACTGAACGACAGCAAAACCCACCCTACTGCTTCCTTCAAACTTCACCACTTTACAAGTACAAATGGACTCAAAGGAAAGAATCTCATCATGTTTTTCAAACAGCTTCAAATTCAGAGATAGCTGGCTAGACAAGCACACGAAACACTTTTTAAAAACTTGCCCCTTTTAAAAACCACGTTGTTACCAAAGCTTACATCATATTTTAAATAAATCAGCTTAAGAAATCAATAAGCTGACTTCAGGGTTGGCTAACATTTCATCCACGCCACCTGAAGCATCGTGTTGAGAAGGATTCTGAGGCTGCACCTGGGCCCATGAGGAAAAAACGAAAAACAAAGCTCAGTCAGTTAGTGATGGTTTCTGGGGTCATGGGGACACGAGAGAGAGGCACAGAGTGTAGGAGGGGTTATGGGCTACGTGTGTGCGCCCGTTCTCTGCCAGGGCTGGCCGAGGTCTCTGGTACTAAACTATAAAACGCAACAAAAGTCTACCCCAGGTTTAGGGTAGATCTGCTTCATACTGGTATCTCACACAGTGTGAGTCTCACCCAGGGATTCTCGACCTTTTCCCTGTTCTCAGCCGCCCTCCATAAGCACTCCGGGGGCAGAGTACAAGTGATGGTCAGCAACCTTGGCGCACGTCAGGGTCACTCAGGACTGCGGGGAACGGGCCAGGCTTCGCTGGGATTCACAGCCCTGCGTCCTCAGCCAGAGCTTCCACCAGGCAGGCAGGACAAGGACCCGCGGGCAGAGGGGCTGGGACAGGGATGGGGGTCAGGGCCCCCTGCCCTCAGTCCTCATTTCTATAAAAGCTCTGTGGCCTTGGACACATTACTTTTCTTAGTTTGTAAAATGAATTCGGATTCAGGGATTTTCGAACTTTAAGTTTCTGTGACTAAAACATGAAGAGGTGAAGAATATCACAGTGTGTTAATTCCACGCTAAATGTCCTTCTCTTTGCAAATTCAAGGAAAGCTCCTTTTGTGTCAAACAGATAAATCTCGCAGTAATTGATCAGGAAGCAAACACATGGAACTCCTTCATGCATGAGTGTGTCCTTTGCTCAGTCACGTCCGACTCTGCAGACCCACTGACTAGCCGGCCAGGCCCCTCTGTCCACGGGATTCTCCAGGCAAGAATACTGGAGTGGGTTGCCGGGCCCGCCTCCAGGGGACCTTCCCAATCCAGGGATCGAACCCTGGTCTCCTGCATTGCAGGCAGATTCGTTACTTCCTGAGCCACCAGGGAAGCCCATTTATGCATAAACAGTCATCATTTTTTGAAAGAGGAAGCTCAGTTATATAACACAGTAAGCCCCTTACATATGAATTTTCAAGTTGTGAGCTTTTGAAGATGCAAATGTCCCCCTGTATGCCAACTGTTGTACTGTACTACTGTACCTTTTCAAGGTATTGTACTGTAAGGTTAAAAATGTCTTATTTTTTATGTTTGTTTTTTACATATTGTTTGTGTGAAAAGTATTACAAACAGTATAGTTCTATATGGGGCATCCTTGATGGCTCAGATAGTAAACAATCTGCCTGCAATGAGAGAGATCCAGGTTCAATCCCTGGGTCAGGAAGTTCCCCTGGAGAAGGAATTAGCAACCAACTCCAGCATTTTTGCCTGGAGAATTCCACAGACAGAGGAGCCTGGTGGGCTACAGTTCATGGGGTTGCCAAGAGTCAGGCATGACTGAGCGACTAACACACACTATATAGCTGCCTGTTAGTTGGGTACCTAGGTTAACTTTGTTGAACTTACAAACAAACTGGACTTGTGAACACGGTCTCGGAACAGAACTCATTTGTATGTAGGAGGATTTAACTGTACTGTTAATACAATCCTCTGTCTAGGTTGTTCTTGCAAATTGTTTTTTTTCTTGAGACACTAAAAATCCATGGACATAATTTGCTACTTCAACATATATTTTAGTTGCTTGCATCTCTGACTTTAGCAGGTTTCTCAGCATTCTCACTGTTTGATAAGTTGATATCTTACCTGAGTGACAGCAACGTTTGTCCCGTCGGTGACTTCCACACTCATATTATAGATGGACCTCTGCTCTGCATCCAAAGGTTTCGCAATGACAATGGTCCCAACACCCTTCTCTGCGTCAAAAGAGCTGTCAAAATTGCCCCCTGACGAGTTCACAGAAACAACATGAAATTAGCACATCTGAGGCATGCAGTCTTAAAGGGAGCTCATATACACAAATGCTTTTTCTGGACAGGCACCCCTATGGCTCAATTTGCACTTCTCAGATGAATCCTTTATTTTCTAACTTAACTCATATTTCAAAACACAGCCTCTGCAATGCATAACAAATGTCACCAAAAAAATGTGTTGCCAAAAATCCCCTCAGCACTAATGTTAGAGCAGTAAAAGATAAATTGACCACGTAAAATATTTAGAAAGCTAAAGTCCCATTCAACCCCTTGTGGCTTCTGGGCTAGGAATTTGTGGACCCTTTACTTTTCCAAAGTACATTAAATTCTAAGTAAACAAACAGTCCAATCATTATTAACAAAAATGAGTAGGCACTTTGAAATCTGTACCAGGATTGATGGTAAACATGTGGTTGTTAGAGTTCAGATTCCCTCAATTTGATGTCAGAAATGAAGTTATAAATACTAGAAAATATGGAAAAGCAACAAAATTGGATTTCATATTAAAAATTCTCTATCTGTAAGTTGGGATATTTATAGGAAAAAAAATTTTTTTTTTTTCCATCTTGACAGTGTGAGTTATCTTTCTCTGCCCAAAGTAGAAAGTTTACAGGAGATTTACAAAATGAAATCTGGAAAGAATGAGAGGGGAACATCAGCTATGGAACAACTGATAAAATATTTTACATGAAAGTTTATAAAACTTTACTTTCTACCATTGGACCAGGTGTAATCTATAATCTATGACTAATATGCTTAAGACAATATAGCCTTTGTTAAATCACTGTAGATGTTTTCATGTCTGTGAACCAAAGTGTGGTTTATGATCTTTTTCAAAATGAAAGATCTTTTTTAAAGGAGAGAGAAGATATTGGTAGAAATGCTGGAACAATTTTAATTAAGTATCAGTCAATGTTCACAAGTTCTATTTATGCTAGCTTGAAATTTCACTATGTCAATTAATTTTGTTCCTGGGCAATAATTTTATTTAACTATAGCACATAGGGCAATGCGTTTACTGAATTTCATATTTTAGAAAGGAAATCTTGGCTTCTGTTTTCTGCATTTCATTTTGCTGATCAATGAACAATGTTATATACAATTTCTATGATATTACAATTAGAAATGGGCAGATGAGTTAAGGGAGAGAAGAATTTTTTATGAATTATTAGAATTTGATGTATAATGACATGAGATAAATAATGTGGTGTACTTACAAAAAAATATATATTTCATATATATTTCAAATACTTATTGCTTGCAGCTGCCATATACACTTAAGATTCTTTAATTGCTAGAAAGAACATAATTGCCCTTGACATTTAATTAAAGCTATGAAGATATGGGGTACCAGAGAATTGCTTGGAGATGATATATTTTTTCGAAAATTTCATTTTAAAAGAGACTCATCTTTCAATTAATATCTTTAATTGATTTACTGAGAAATACTAAATGTTAACTCAAAAAAAAATGTCTTTTGAAGAACATGATAAAGAGAAAGGGGAGGAGATCTAGGCTGAAAGAGAAGCAAGCCTTAGGTCACCATGCCTCTTTCAAAGGGAATGTTTCATGTTGATAACCACATGAAATGAAATGTATGGCTGATTCAAGTGTCTTGAAAAACCATTCTAATGAGCAAAGAAAAGTCATTTGCTATCAAGTGGTACATTCTGAAAAAAACTTTGCCATGGAAACTTTCAAAAGAAAGATGAAAAATCGCCTCAGACTGTGTAGAAGGAAAGATGAGAAAGCAGCTTCTCAAGCTATTTCTGGTGGGTATTAAGTCATATTTTAAACCACATTAAAAAATGATCTTTGGAATGCCTTCTTACTAAGATTTTTACTTTTTTAAAATCCAAGGACCATGATTTTTGGGGGTGGGGGTTAAGAGTGGGCCAGTTATTTTAGAAGGTGAAAATTTGCAGGTCAATGTAAAATGGAAGCTCTGCAAATGATAAAACTTTGATTTGCTCCAAAGACAAATAAAAATGAAATTTAGAGACTATGCAAGCAATGACTTCCAGTTTCAGTTACTGCTTCAGTGGGACGATTACGTACCCTTTCCCTCACTGCCTCAGACTCACATTTTCCTCGGGGCCCTCCCTATGCAGAAATACATCATCATTATGCTTAGTGGCATAAAATTTACATATTTTACATATGGCATATAGATTGTCTGCATTATTAGTCTTTCTTTTTGGTATCAAAAACATTTTTGATTACTTTTATGGTAGTTTAAAAAACTTTATTTTACATTGGAGTGTAATTGATTAACAATGCTATGTTAGTTTCAGGTGTACGGCAAAGTGATTCAGTTATACACACACATGTGTCTATTCTTTTTCAAACTCTTTCCCCATTTTGGTTATTATCAAATACTGAGCAGCGCACAGGGAGTTCTGCTCAATGTGGGGGTGATTTTTTACAGTTCTCTCTCTTCCTGCGTGTGCGTGCATGTCTGTGTGTATCTCCCCCATTCACCTTTGTTGTTTCAAATACTCTAGACCAGAAACCTTGAAAGTAGCAGGGGAGATAGACAAGGAGAAAGCAGATCACAGTGACCTGGAGAAACCCTATGAGTATCTCTCCATCCATCAATAAGGCTAGCAGCCTCTGATGCTCACTTCTAGGGCTTGTACTTCTAGTGAAACCAAGATTTCATGTAAAACCAGGTTCCCCAAATCACCCCTGAGTTTTACAGTGAATTTCTGACAAGGGACACAGAATCTAGACCAGCAGTTCACCATCAACCCTCCCGCAATTTCACAGCCTACCACTTAGGCCTCCCATTTCATGAACAACTGTCTCTCCCCCAGGCCTCATTTCTCAGGCTCCCTTCCAGGCTGAAAGGTGGTTTCATTTTGTCGGATCCCATGTCCAATTCATCTGGTGTGAGCCTATCAGATGGAATGAGTCTGCTTTCACTAGCAGCGCCCATTTAAAGAAGATGTGCTTCCTCAGAGCCAGTAACAACATGCAAAGCCAGAGTGTGCTGGGCGGCAGCGCTGGGCTCGGCGCAGGGTGGGGAGGGGGAGACACGGGCAGCTGGGCTGATTCAACAACGTGGGGATTAAGGGAAGTCACAGCCTGAGCGTTGCTGCAGGGGCGTGCGGCAGAGATGGTTGTAAGCGAGGTTGTGAACAGCCCACATAACAGAGAATTCATGTCAGGGGACATTTCTCTTTGACCATTTTCGGTCAAGACAGGTGCAAAGGAGTAAACAGAGCCACGAGAAGTGTGTTGCCTCTCTACCGGCTTCTAGAGTTTAAACATCAAAAGTCAGAGGGTCCCAAAAAAGCTTCAAAAAATGGGATGGGAATGAAAATACTTGGAGCCAGCAGCTACTGCTGGAATGTGCAGGGCAGCATGGTGTTGGGCCATGAACCAGTTAAGTTTTCCTTTAAAGAATCACCGTCTCTCCATTTTGAGACCCAGCGGTGACTATCTCACAGCTTTCTCTTTAGAAAAGCTTCCGGACCCCTCCCCTAGCTCTGATTCCAGTCTACACTACTTACAATGGTAACACTACCAACCAAAATTTCAAAATCAATCAATGGGGATGAGCTATGGGAGAAGCTTCCCAAACACTGAACTGCAGAATCTCAGTGAATTACGGGAGTCGTTTGCAAGCTGTTCATTCAAGTTCAGCGTGCACACCGAACTTGAGGGAAAATACTACACACTATTTCTGTGGTTTGATCATGAATAATAACTGTCTGCCTTGGAAGGAAGAAAGCACAGTACAGGGCTAAAACGGATATTTACATAGGAGGCAGGAGAAGCAGGCTGGAGGTTAGAAACAGTGGTAGGAAGGAAAATCCCTTCTAGAATCTGATTTAAAATTCATTTTCTTACAATAATATCTGAAGTAGTTTTAAGATTTTTATTATTTTCCTAACGTTTCTTCAGGTGTTTTCCTATGGACCACATGGTTGCTATGGAGAAAAGAGAGACTTGTTGGGGATCCAGTGAGAAGAAATGATGTCATTGATGACTATGAGCAAGTGTCGCCCTGATGGAGGGAGAGCTGTATTAGAAACGGGACAGCCCTCTTGGGAGGGGTAGGGGAGAGTTCTGTGATTAAGAAATGTGGATACTGAGTTACAGAAGACCTAGAGAGGTTAATGCTAGTCAGGGTGCCATCAAAGAGTTTAACTTGCCTACTTGATGGAACCCTGGGGCTTCCCTGGTGGCACAGTAGTAAAGAATCCACCTGCCAATGCAGGAGACACAGGATCAATCCCTGGGTGGGGAAGATTCCCTAGAGGAGGAAATGGCAACCCACTCCAGTATTCTAGCCTGGGAAACCCCATGGGCAGAGGAGCCCGGCAGGCTACAGCCCGTGGGGTTACGAAGAGCCAGGACATGATTAAGCACGCACACACTTGATGGAACCCTATTAGGGGATGGCCCCATCTTGGATGAGGTTCTAGAAGGACAGGTCTAAGCTTGCAAGATAGAAGCAGTCAAGGAACCAGATTCCTCAGAAAGCAATGACAGACTGAGGGCCCAGGCTGTCTTCATGCTCCTGCAACACAGAAATGTGTTTCAGCTGAGCTGGACCCACATGCCACTTTATGCCATCAGGGGACTATTTTCAAAGAATAACTTTTCTCTACACATTAGGTGAGGCAAATAAACAGAGATAGGTTAAGTGTTTACTGCCTACCAGAAAAACAATTATCCTAGTCTAAGTCAGGGGAAAAGCTAGAAAAGTGGGTGGTAGTATCTCCCATCAGACTGGAAGTAAAGAGGAATCATTTGGCATATGTAGTAATGGTGGTCTTTACAATATAAATATTTGTCAGCGGGATAAAGAGACAGGGACTGAACTGTGAACCAGACTGCGTGCACATCAGAGAGAATGTAAATCAAGATGCTGCCGAACCGAAATCACAGTCTCCTGAGAAGTGTGAAGATACGTGAGCAAGCCGCAAAGGATTGTGGGCGAGTTTTGTCCCTTCGCCTTCTCTCCCTTTTAGCGCAGGGAAGGAACACGCTGTGCAATGGGCTGTTTAAACACAGAACAGCTGAACTCTATAACGTTTCCTCTTAGTTACAGCTTTCTTAACTTGTTTACAAGTGGGCTTCTGTTTCTGGAAGCTGAAGAGAGTCTAGCTCTGTGACGCTGTAAGCCTTCGGAGGCACAAGAAAGTATCTGGCAGGTCCTTGATGCAGGGGTCCCGGCTTGGGAACAAAATCTTGCTCTCTATACGGCTTTTGTGAATTCATATGATAGTAGGAGGAAAAGAAATGCAGTTAAACAAGAATCAGGGAGATTGGGAATATGGAAATAAGGAGACAATACTCTCAGGGTAAAAGGCATGCTGGAACACTATTTCTGCTTATTTAACATGAGTTCTTTAGTTAGAGCATTTGTAAGCTCTGTTAGGCTGGGGGGAGGTATGGTCTGTAACCGTGAGTGTGTCTATAGGTGTCTATCCAGCTAAAGCACACTGCTAAGTTTCTTAGGCATTGAGAAGCCCTTTCCCTTATCTCTCCTCGATGTTAGCTTAGCCAAGAAAGATACTTGGGTAAGGAAGAAGGAAAGAGACAGAGGAGAGTGCTGGGGGCCAAGAACAAATAAACAAGAAATCTTGAAAGAATGAAACATCTGAATATGATAAAGGAAACAATAGGTTTTTAGAGAAGAGGAAAAGATGTTGTCAGCAGGTTGGAAAAATATAGCTCTCTGAGATCAGAAAAAAATTTCAAAGAGGGGATTTGGTGGAAGGGGGATCCATATCTATTCTGAACACAGCCAGCACCTGGGGAAAAGTTTGTACTTTCTCCATGACTTAAAGAGTTGACATTTCAAGAGGTTGGCTGGATGCAGGGATGGAAATAAAATCAAGTTCTGTTTGGGCATCTGGCCCAGTAAATTTAATTTGCAGGAGAAGCTTGACTGGATGTTAACAGATACACAGTGAAATCTGTGATGGAAGCATCTAGACTAGAGGGACAACCTAGTAGGTCTATATTAAGAGAAGTGCATGTATGCATGCTCAGTCATGTCTGACTCTCCGACCCCATGGACTGTAGCCTGCCAGGCTCCTCTGTCTATGGAATTCTTCAGACAACAAAACTGGAGTGGGTTGCCATTTCCTATTCCAGGGATCTTCCTGACCCAGGGATCAAACCTGTGCCTCCCAAGTCTCCTGCATTGGCAGACAGATTCTTAACCACTGAGCTACCTGGGAAGCCCATTAAGAGAAGTATCTGAGCACTAAAACTGGAAAGATTCTATAAAAGGAGCATAGATTTAGGACTAAAGATGGAGAAACAGGAAAATGGATGCCATGTTTCTGATCATGATTCCTAGATATGATTTGGAGCAGCCTAAAGGGACTCCTTCCTGGAAGGATTCTGGTCTGTCAACTGCCCGTCTCTTCTTGGACCAGTTCTCTTTTGGCCAAAGGTGCTGTGGTTGCTGAGGCTGAGAATACAGTGGAAGGTCACAGTGACTCTGGACAGGTCTCAGGAGGCATCAGTGGGGTTAACACACAGGCTGCCTGGGGCACCTCCATCAGCTGGCATCATTATCCCACTCACCCTGGGTGGAGATCAACAAAAGCAATGGCAGGAAGAAGGGGGACACAAAGACCTTGACCTCAAGGGTTAAGATTGGAGCCAGGATAAACACCATGAACATGTATGCCAGCACTAATACTGCTGAGTGGAATTCATGCAAGTCAGGTTACACGCAGCATCATTAGGCATGCTATCCTATACACAATCATACACACACATGCAGGCATGCTAAGGAGTTGCAAAAACGACTTGGATAACATGTCAGGTGGCTGTCAGACTGAGCATCAGAGAAAAGTGTGCTTGTAAGATTTCTGAAGAGGAGTGCACGCAAGGGCATCCTGGGGTGGATGGGATGTGCTGCATGTCAAGAGGCTGTATGCGCGCATCATGCAAGGCAGAGAAGCAGTGCTGTGAGGCCATAGAGGCGCCTGTAGACTGGAGTGTCGGAGAGGGATGGAGACGAAGTGATCACTGATGGCAGAGGGCAAGTCCTCCCACGGCTTAGGACAGTGCAGCAGGAGCCTTAGCCTTTGGCTGTCCACTGCACTCTCCCTTGAACTACTGAAAAGAAGCCATGATTGCACTGGAGACATGAGGAAACTGAGATGTGTCTTCTGTGACCCTGACAGGGGGCATGGGTGAAAGAATTCCAAAGCTGATGTGGCACCGACAGCCAAGTGATGCCTGGGGTGTGAGAAAACAACTGAGAGGATGGAAGAGCAGAGAGATCTTCCACGGATCAGAAGAGGTACCATTTCAAAGGCGCTAAGTGGAAATGAAGACAGTGGAAAGCTGGGAATGACGATGGTCATGCACAGGGATGGTGTAATCGATGCCCACTAAGGGAAAGAAAGCTGGTCTACCAGCATTCTAGAAAATGAAATAGGTAGAAAACAAGCCTTTTCTTTGGGGGAAGTTCAGGGGACCCTCTACTGATGTTCCATTTGGGGGACATGGGGCATTCATTCTTTTTCTATGCTTCATTAAAACAGATGTGGAATGTTCTAAATGCTTTCCCAAGACCCCGTCATTCCTGGGAAGAAAGGCAGGTTCCTGCCCATCCTATCCAAGCAGTGACACATGAAGGAAATGATTCCCCCAGACCAGCTCTCTGGAGTCACCACCTCCCACGGAGGACCGTGGGAAGTCAGCTTCAGCTGGACCAGCGTCAGACCCACGGCTGGCGTGCACACTTGCCTTCGCCTGGATTCCTGGTCCTCAGCACTTATTTCCTCTCCGCCGCCTCTCCCTGCCGGGTGGTGAAGGGGCAATTTTGCCCTCTCTTTTTGCAGCCTGCTGCGCTTGCTTGCTTTCTTTCAAGGAATTTAAAGGTTGGCTTTTAAGGTCTATCCTGCCTGCGTCCATCTGCTTTTTGTATTTGGCTCTCGCAGGAAGCTCTCGCTGGCTATATATTTAGGCTCCGTTTCCTGTCCTTCCTATTGTGGACAGCAGCCCGGGACTCTCCTGGTGGGGCTTTTGGGTCTACGAATGGCACTCCTACAAAACTGAGGGGCTGGGATCTATTTGAATTTACTTTTCAGTTGTAAAAAGGCCCAGGTAAACTAACCTACGAAAAGATCAAAACAACAAAAAGCCCACATACCTCAAAAGCAGAGAAAAAAATTTCTCTAAAGAAATCAGAACAACCCCCCCCACCCCAAATACAAACCCCACCGAACCTCAAACAAAGGAGTCACTGGATATGAGTAATGCAGTCGCTGTTAGAGGCATGTATGAAATCTGTGGGCTGCACTTCAGCCTGTCACAGGCAGTTATGAAAGATGTAATTTAATTTGCTTAAAAAGAAAAAAAAACCCGTAAAAGGCAGATTGGATAGCTGTATTTTAGCAAATGTGTTTGCACTAAGGGTACCTTCTGTTGAACAGTTCTGCCCACAAGCTGTCTGTAGAATATAGAACATCTCTCGAGCATGCTTGCCACCTTGAAGCAGGGCAGTCGGGAGCAGAAAAAAAAAAAAGAACAGAATGCAGAAAAAAGGTGAAGAAAAAGAGAGAAATGAAGGACAGCAAGTCTAGTACCATCAATACATTTAGAAATGAGATTAGCCAAGTGTGACAATAGAATTTAAATGACACACAGAAAGACATTAAGATTGCAGTAAATAACGTACTATGGAAACTCCAGCCAGAGAGCACTTTCAGTTCAGCTTAGCTACAGAAGTCGGAACGAAAGCACAGGTCGACTATTCATTTTACTGGCTCTTTTGCATTCCAGCACTATACATCTTTTAATCTTAGCATAATCTTTAAGTGTTTTTGTTGTTGTTGTTGTTGTTATTGTTTTTTTTTTCTTTTTTGCTAGTTGCTCTGAACAGTCAGTGATTACATTGCCCATTACTGCCCTGGGGGACTCAAACTTACCAACAATGTCAAACCACAGAAGGGTGTTAGCTGGCTGCACAGACACCACCCCGACAATCTCGGTGACTCTGTCATTCTCCATGACTGTGAAGTTGTAGAATGGCTCATCGAAGGTCAGTGGTACAGGTGAAGGAGGCGGTTTCTTAATCCATTCGATGTGGAGGCGGGCCGTGGAGGACTTCTGAGGGCGCCCGTTGTCCACGGCCTTGATCTGCTCACACACGGAGAAGACAGCTGTTTCAGAGCCTGGGTCCTGGTGGAAGCCTGCATCTGTCACTTGTATGCTATGGGGCTCAGAGCCCACCCTCACGATGGGGTCGGCAAGGGGAAGACGTGGAGAGCGATCTGAGGACAATCAGCTCAGGGACTGCGGGAAGCAACTCGGACACATGGGGCCCCAGAGCACGTTTGCCAGAGGTGTTTTGAATCACTGCCAACCTTGCAGATGTGGAAAACTTGAAAAACAAATGGTGCAGTTGCAGATTTAAAGTTGGATGGGCACGAATGGCAGCTCCAAGTGTGAGAAGAGCTGCTTTGATTTCTTATAGCTGTGGTGGTAGTGTTGAAAAGGGAACAAATGCATTGTCATTGTCACATAGAATTTTCATGTGGGATTCCAAGAGGGAGATGGGAGGAGGCAGGGGAAAGGCATCAGCCTTGCAAAATTTATCTCAGAGGCCCTCTGGTTAAGTCAACCCTGAAGGAGTGAAGGAGATCTCTCTCAGTGGAAACGTGGGCCCCTCGAGGCAGTGGAATGAGGAAGGGGGTGTTAATGACTCTTCTCTTTGGTTTGATATAAGGGCTGAGAAAAGCATGTTTCCTTGCCCAGATATGCAGGGTTAACTGCTATGCTGTCCTGGACTTAAATGTGTGTGTGTATTGGAGGGGGGCGGGGGTGGCTTGCAGTTAAGTCTAACAAGCAAACCATCAGTGATAGAAAATTTAAAAACCAAAATAAAAAAGGATTGTAAACTATTACATTAATAATACCATTTCCAGATGCATTGCTAATAGTTGTAGCCTTTAAAAACAGTGACAACTCATAGCTCCCTAGTGCTGTGTTCACGCATGATCACTTTGCCCCAGTTTCTGAGAGAGGAAGGGCCCTTGAAGATACCTTAGGTTGGGTTTCCCAGAAGCAGAGTCTGAGACAGGGATGTGAGTACAAATGATTTCAAGAGGAAGTGTTCCCAGGAGAAAGGGAGTGAAGAGAGCAGGATAGACAGAGGAGGATGGTAAGCAAGGATGTGGTCTCAGTTGAAGTCTAACCTCAGCCTGATCCCAAAGGGAGCTCTGAATCATTCACTGTACTACTGAGTTGGATCCACCTGGAGGCAAGGAGGTTGGGCTTTTATATCTGGTGTCAGTTAGGAATTGGCTGTGGGCTGCTGGGCTAGTGTAGGTGTATAGATCATCTTGGCTGAGAAGCGTGGCCAAGGATGACTCTCTGAAGAAGGAATCAGCTTTCAGCCCTTAGCAGTCAACACTCACAGCAGTTGGGGGATGGCTGGACCAGCCTGATAAAGGGAATCTGGGCATGGTACCAACAGTATCCACTGCAATCCACCCGGTCCTCAAAGGTTTCCACTGGCAAGTCTCAGACAGCTGCAGCAGCACCTGTTACATCAGAGCTGCTGATGGTGGAAACAGGACTGGTTTTTAAGTTATTTTGTTTTCTCTGTTCACTCTTCTGAATACACTACTGAGCAGGGAATGGAGCCCAAGTCCAGTCCATAGGCATAAAAATTAAATGGACTCAGACCGTCCTTTAAAATAACAAAGCACTGACCATACACAGTGGAGAAGACTGTGGCGCTAACTCTGGACAGCTGTTGGCCCTGAAAGTGCCCATCACTGGGGAGGCTGACCAGTCCCCTTTCAGGCGTGGCTGCTACCTGTCTAAAGTGGTTGGGGTTGGGGGAGCAGGCTGGTGCCTTAGGCATGGTATTAATCGATTAAGTCTTTATTTGAGATGGTGCTCATACTTGTTCTTATTTTTGATTTTCTAACAATGAAAATGTCATTTTTTATTTCAGATTTTTCACTCTTTGCAGAATAAGCCTAGATATGATTTGTGTCCCTTAATTTATACCGTTAAATTCATGTTCTGTCACATTGTCAACATTACAAGAGTTGTTTTCATTGGGATGTCTTCAGGACATGTTGAGAGGCAGGCAGGTTATGTTATTCTGCTGCTCTCCTCTCTGCAGCTTACATCTATGCTCAGTACCTTGAAATGATCTGGGGCTACAGAAAGTGTAAGTGAGTAAGTGACGGAGCAGGCTGTGTACTGGAAATGGAGGAAATGGCCTCCTTATTTAGGAACGTCACTGCAACAGAAAGTAGCCTTCCATGGTTATGTGGCTGCACTTTTTGGTCCAGAGATCTTTTTGTTTTTGCTTAAAACATATATATGAACAAGAAGAAAACTTCCTCCCCCTCATTAACGTTATTGGGGTTCAGAAAAATCTTACCGTGAGAATGTCATAACTCCCTGCTGTAAACTGCTTTCTGGAAGAGACCATGCCAGTTTTAGGGTCAATGAAGAACCTCCCGTCATCATTCCCATCCACGATACTGTAGGAGATCTCAGCGTTGGGTCCCTCGTCTTTGTCGAATGCAAAAGCCCTATAGATGGGCTCTCCCCGCTTCTTCCGGTCACGTTCTGGCAGCTTGATCTGGTAGACCTTCTCTGGGAACTGAGGCTTGTTGTCATTTTCATCCAGAACCTGAACCACCACCCAGATGGTCGACTGTTTTGGGGAGAAGCCACCATCTGTCACGGTCACCTGAGTTTTGAAAGAGAAAGTGTTTTACAATCAGAAAAGAGAAAAACTTTTCTCACTGCTCCTCCCCTTGCCACCCCANCTATGCACTCTTGAAATACCTTATACTCTTCTTTTGCAGCACTTACTGTCATGGAAATTAATTAAGCACATGACTCTCCACCAAGCTGATAAGTTGGTTAAGGGCAAAATCTGATCTTGCCTGTTGTGTTCAGTGCTCTTGTGCCTGGGCGTCCATGCGGGTCCCTGCTCTGTCTAACTATTCACATGCAAGCAAACATGGAAGTCAGGAGGCAATTTTCATGTGCGCCATTCACACCTGTCTCCTACTCCGGGACAGGCCTCATCTGTGTCTTGCTTGGAGACCCTCAGTGGCCTTCTGGTTTCCCTGCCTTCAGCTTTCACCTCTGTCGTAAAGCATTATTTCTTCCTCAAAAGAAATAATTTCTTCCTTCCATCTGACCACATCACTGACCTGCCCAGCATTCTTCAGGGACTCTTGAGGCTGAGGATCTGGCCTGCCGTGATGGTCACTACGCCTACCTGCTCCTTTCCACTCCCCATGCTCAGCTGCACAGCGAGCCTGGGGTGGTGCCGAGTATGCCAGGCTCCTACGCCTCCGTTCCTCTGCATGTCTGGTGGCTTCCATGGAAGCCTTTCTCTTGAGAATACATTTGACTCATTATAGAAGCTTCTATTCAAGCACTGTTTTTTCTGCAAAGCCATTCCTGCCCCCTGCAGACAGCTCTACATGCCCTCACCATGTTCCCACTCCACTGGGTGTACCGTCCCAGGACATTAATTATCATCTTGCAGTTTTAAGTATCTATTGCCTTGTTGGTCTGTGCTCAATCTTTCCAGATTGTGAGCAAGCTGAGGTCAGAGACCGTCTCATTCATTGTTCTGTTCTGACACCTTGTACAGCTCTAAGTGCCAAATAAATGTTGCTAAATGAAACTAAGAAGTGATCCACTCCCAACTCTGCCCTATGATAACGAATGGAGGGAACATGCAGACAGTGAGGGGTCTGCTTCTTCATCTGCAGGAAATGAAGAGACTGGTAACATAAGATCTCCCAAGTGCTCTATGATTCTCTGAATGGGGTCAGGTAGAGGAAGACAGGATTATCTTTATTTTGTTCTGTTTTGGCTGGCACCATATGACTTGTGGGATCTAAGTTCCCTGCATTGGAAGTGCGGAGTCAACCCCTGCACCACCAGGGAAGTCGCAGGTAGACACAGTTTTAACTATACACTGGGGTTCATTACATTACTTATATTGCTGCAAAGCCCATGATTACTTATAAGAATTTCTAGCTACTTTCAAAACTGTGCTGATCACTGTGGACACTTGTCTACAATTTGCTCCAATGATCTTTTTGTGTGTTGGCTCCCCCAGGACAGTGTGAGCTACTTGAAGGCAAGAACTCTGTCTTCTTCATCTCTTTCCTGGGACCTAGTATATGACTAATAAATGTTTGCTGAACCGAACTACATCCCCTATAACCTCAAAGTCTTAATGTCTGTTATCATTTCTCTAGACCCACTCATGTCTCCAGCCCCGTTGGTATCTGGAATATTGAGTGAAAGTGAAGTCGGTCAGTCATGTCCAACTCTTTGTGGCCCCATGGACTGTAGCCTATGAGGCTCTTCCATTCATGGAATTTTCCAGGCAACAGTACTGGACTGGGGTACAATTTCCCTCTGCAGGGGATCTTCCCAACCCAGGGATTGAACCCAGGTCTCCTGCATTGTGAGCAGACACTTTTACCATCTGAGCCACGAGGGAAGCAATCACTGACAATTCCATCAGATCCTCAAACGTCACACTTCACACTGCCCTAGACCTCAGTCCATCACGTGGAATTAGCCTGCATGGAAGAAGGGGCAACACTGGAGACTGAGCCCCACTGAGATAAATCCTCATCACCTACTCTACATTGTTTTTCATAAATGATGTGTAAGGAATTAGCCGTTGGTGAGAAATGATCCACGTGTCCTCTCGCTCTGCCACCTTATCCCAGATTTTCTACTCTTACAGTCGATCAGTAATCAGTGGTTCAGCAATCAATCACTATCCTGAAATTTTAATGTCTGTCTTTATTTATAGCTAGCAAAAGGAACCAGAAATAATGTAGTACCACTGAAGGACAGCAACAGCTTGTTTCAACTTTCTATGCTACCCTTGTGATCTGTGAAGACCCGGCAGGGCCAGCAGGCAGGCAGAACAGCCCCGCACATGAGGACAACAGGGCACAGAGGAGCCTGGTGCTACGTCTCTCCGAGGAAGAGGCAAGCGCTTCATAGTGTCAACAGTGGGCGGACACCGAGAATTCTGGAGCTATGTACCACCCTCCCCCAAGGGAAGGCCATCCTTCTACTGTCTTTCTAAAGCATATTTTCATTTATTTATTTGGCCATGCTGGGTCTTAGTCGTGGCATGTGGACCTGGGTCTTCGATGTGGCATGTGAACTCTTAGTTACGGCACATGGGATCTAGTTCCCTCACTGGGGGTCAAACCCAGGCCCCTCCGTGGGAGCAGAGTCTTAGCCACTGGACTGCAGGAAAGTGCTAGAAGGCCATGCTTCTCAATCATTTAAACTGCATGATGTACTTAGTTTTGTTTTCTCTCTCCACATAGCAGAAAGTAAGTTAAGTACGTGAGTTGACTGAGAGCTGAGACATTGTCTTGTCTCCTGTCTTGTCGCAGGGATTATAAGAGTATCTTAGACTATATTCAACCTTTCTAAGATGAAGAGTTTAATTCTGTCATACTCTTCAACCCTTGATTTATCAAAAATGACTATTTCCAGGCCACTAACCACTGAACTGCCAGGGAATTCCCCTATATTTAAAATTGTGAACCTTTCTTCAGAGACTGAATATCTTTCCTGCTGCACTTGACATTTGCCTTGGACGCTTTATTTTCATCTGACATAGTATATACACTTCACATGTCAGCTTGTTTATTGCATGTCTGCCTCTTTAAGAATATATGCTCCAGGAAACTTCCTGGTGGTCCAGTGGCTAAGACTCTGCGTTCCCAATGAGAGGGGCCTGGGTTCCATCCCTGGTCAGGACACTAGGTCCAATATTCTGCAATTAAGACCCAGTGCAGCCAAATAAATAATAAATGAATATTTTTTTAAAATAATATGAACTCTACAATGCATGAATTTTTATCTTTTTTTGCTCATAGATATATCCTGAGCATCTACAATGGTGGATGTGATAGGCATTTAATAAATACCTATGAAATTAATTAACAAAGTATTCATCCAGTGCCTTCTAGGTACAAAAGTCTTTTTTAAGGCAAACAGGGAAATCAACCAACCAACAAGCATGGATTGCTATTAAATTCACCCCTTCCCCATGCCCCAGATCTTTCCCGGTATTCCTGACCTCTGGTCATCTGGCCTTATTCAGATATTTTCAGTAAGAACTAATGCCTTATGAAGCAGTCCATGTGCTGTTTGATAGGCTCAGTCTTCCCAAAGTTCTTCTTATTGAACCTGGATATACCCATCTATCCTTAACCTAGACAGACTGTAGCTTCCTACAGACTGCCTTTGCTTCGCTCTTTGTAACTATACAGAAAGACGCAAATTCCTCCTCCACACTGTGCCAGTTATCTACTGCTGAGCAACCCCAAACTAGGTGGCCTAAGATAACCAGAATTCTTTTATTAGCTCTCCTCCTTCTAGGGCGTGAGCAGAGCATGTCTTCCTTGGAGTCTCTCATGCAGTTGAAGTCATCAGTCACTCGACTTGTGGTCACTGGTGATGTCTGTTGGTCGATGGCAGTCACTGGCTGGGACCTCCACTGGGGCTGAGGTCAACGGAGGTCAACAGGCCCAGGATCCACAAGTGGCCGCTTCGCGTGGCCTGGGCTTCCTCACAGCATGGTGGCTGGGTTCTACGAGCAAGAGGCCTGGAGGACAGTAAGTGGCAGTTTCTTCAGGCTCAAACCCAGAAACTGGCATAGCATCACTTAATCCATGTTCTGTTGGGCAGCAGTCCCAGAGTGCAGATTCAAGCCGAGGGGTCAAAAATCCCACCTCTAAATAAGGGAGGGTTAAGTAATGTGTGGAGGGGCATTTTTAAAAAATATTCATTTAGCTGGCTGCATCAGGTCTTACATGGGATCCTCACTTTGGGACAGAGGCTCCAGAGAGGGGGCACTCACAGCATGTGGGGTCTTAGTTCCCTGCGTTCAGTCCCTCAGTCCGGTCTGACTCTGTGACCCCATGGACTGTAGCCCACCAGGCTCTTCCCTCCATGGGATTATTGTGGCAAGAATACTGGAGCGGGTGGCCATTTCCTCCTCCAGGGGATTTTCCCAACCCAGGGACTGAACCCACATCTCCTGTGGTTCCTGCATTGGCAGGCGGATTCTTTACCGCTGAACCACCTGGGAAGCCCAGGGATCAGTTCAAGTCCCCTGCATGGCAAGGCAGATTCTCAATGACTGCACTACTAGGGAAGGTCCCATGGTGGGGGGGAGGGGGCGTGTTTTAAAACTACCATACTGATAAAATTCTTAGGGATATTTGAGACTCCTCACCCCAGATTGAAAAAAATTCAAAATCATATAATCATCTCTCAGGTCATTCATTATATGTAATGAATTTCTATTAATCATACTGCTTGCCTTTGTCAGGATATTTTCTTATATATCAGCTTCATTCTTACAATATGATAGCCAAGACAAAACAGGACAAAAAAGCACATCAAACTTACTCAGATCTGCACAAACTCCTGTAGTCTTAGAGACAATCTCAAGTCTGTTTATTCAGCTCATCATTCTACTCATGCTAAGTGGCAGTCCTGTCACACGGTTCTGAGACATGATTGAATTAAACCATTTAAGTCTTTTTCTTAAGAGAAGCAATAAGTGTGTGGTTTCCTTATGAAGCCCAAAGTGCTGGATTTTACATTCCTTCCTATTCAACTTCATTTTACTGAAGGTTTTAGCTCCATATTTTAGGCTGCTTGGATAGTCATAATGATGACAAAGAGCAGGTATCAAAAGGTTACTGTGCTCGGAGGGTCACTCTGAGAGGCCTAGTCTATGCTCCTTTAATTGTTCCTTTTGTTGTTAAACAAATCTCATGAGGACTTTCCTAGTGGTCCAGCAGATGAGAATCAGCATGCCAATATGACAGATATGGGTTCGATCCCTGTTCCTGGAAGACTCCAAATGCCATGGAGCGACTAAGGCCATATGCCACAAATACCAAGCCTGCTGCAGGTACTGACGCCCGTGTGCCTAGACCCTGTACTTCACAATAAGAAAAGTCACCATAATGAGAAGCCCATGAGCGCAATGAAGAGTAGCCCCCACTCACCACAGCTAGAGAAAGCCCTGTAGCAACGAAGACCTAGCACAACCAAAAAGAAATAAATAAGTCAGTTACTCAGTTTAGTCACTCAGTCGTGTCTGACTCTTTGCAACCCCATGGACTGCAGCACGCCAGGATTCCCTGTCCATCACCACCTCCCAGAGCTTATTCAAACTCATGTCCATCGAGTTGGTGATGCCATCCAACCATCTCATCCTCTGTCATCCCCTTCTTCTCCCGCCTTCAGTCTTTCCCTGCATCAGGGTCTTTTCCAATGAGTCAGTTCTTCACA